GGGCTTTATACTAAATGAGATGTCAGGCAAATATTATATCATTTATGTGTGGAACCTAAAAAAAGTTAAACTCATAAAAACAGAGTAGAATGAGTTATCATTTAAGCATTAATTCCCTGTAATAGAATCTCTGGGTCAAAGGGTATAAACAATTTTTAAGACATAATGCTACATTCCCTTCCATGCAGTTTGTACTAATATAACTAACACCAGCTGTGTACTAACTTCTTTAATGCAAACCAAGTATTACCTTTGAAATTTTTCCTAATTTGATAGAAAAATGGTGAGTCAGTTGCATTAATTTGTTAACAAGGTTGAATATTCTTTCAAATATTTATTAGTTATTTGTAGCTCCTCAATTATGAGACAGAACTGACTTAATCTTTGGGATACAGGTAATTCTGGAAAGCTTCCTGGGAGAAATCATGTCTAACTGACACCTAATGGGTTGTGCAGATATCATCCAGGAACAAAATACTTAACAATTACAAGGGGAAGATAGCAAATTTACAGCAGAGGAATATGGCAGATACCACCTTAATAAAGTCATCAAACTTAACATAAACAGTAAAGAGATAAATCCACAGCTGTACTTACTGATGATGTACTGAGGACGTGTCATTATCTCTGTGATATTATTGTCAAAAATGCATAGCTTGAATCAAACCATGAGGAAATATCACACAAAATCAAACTGAAGGACATCCTATAAAACAACTGGCCTATAATCTTTAAAAATGCCAAGATCATAAAAGGTAAGTCAAGTCTGAAGTATTATTCCAAGTTAAAGAAATCCAAAGAGATATTACAACTAAATGTAACATGTTATCCTGGATTGGATTCTGAATCATAAGGGTTTTTATTTGTTTTTTATTTTGGCTATCAATGATATTATTGGAACAATTAAAGAAATTTGAATGGGATCTTTGGATTATGTGGTAGTATGATGCCAGTGTTCATTTCCTGATTTTGATGATTGGACCATGGTGATGGGACTGTCTTTGAGGAAATTTATACTGAAATATTTAGGAGGCATGAAGCATCATGTCTGCAATTTACTCTCAACTGGTTCAGGAAAAAATAATGTGTATGTGTAAACAGAAAGAACAAAGAAATGTTAACAAGTAGGGAACTTGAATGAAGGGCATATGGGAATTCTTTGCACAGTCCTTACAAGTTTCCCAAAGTCTGAAATGATTTCAAAATAAGATGTAGAAAAATGTTTCAGTGGTTAAAAATTTTTAAGTCAAATTGCTCATAAATATTGATAATATTCAGTTAGTGAGGGTTTGAGGAAAATGATACAGATGGCACATGATGGCATATATCCATCATATGAAGTTGCTTAGTCATGTCCGACTCTTTGTGATCCTATGGACTGTAGCCTACCAGGCTCCTCCGTCCATGGAATTTTCCAGGCAAGATTACTAGAGTGGGTTGCCATTTCCTTCTCCAGGGGATGTTTCCTACCTAGGGATCAAACCCAGGTCTCCTGCGTTGCAGGCTTTACTGTCTGAGCCACCAGAGAAGCCCATATCCATCATATATGAATGGGGAAAATGCAAACTGGTGGAAATTGTTTTGGAGGGCAGTTTTAAAGTGTACATCCCATTGAATCTGTAGATTGCTTTGGGTAGTATAGCCATTTTGACAATATTGATTCTTCCAATCCATGAACACGGTATATTTCTCCATCTGTTTGTGTCCTCTTTGATTTCTTTCATCAGTGTTTTATAGTTTTCTATGTATAGGTCTTTTGTTTCTTTAGGTAGATATACTCCTAAGTATTTTATTCTTTTTGTTGCAATGGTGAATGGTATTGTTTTCTTAATTTCTCTTTCTGTTTTCTCATTGTTAGTGTATAGGAATGCAAGAGATTTCTGTGTGTTAATTTTATATCCTGCAACTTTACTACAGATTCAATGCAATCCCTATCAAACTACCAACGGTATTTTTCACAGAACTAGAACGAATAATTTCACAATTTGTATGGAAATACAAAAAACCTCGAATAGCCAAAGTAATCCTGAGAAAGAAGAATGGAACTGGAGGAATCAATCTGCCTGACTTCAGACTATACTACAAAGCCACAGTCATCAAGACAGTATGGTACTGGCACAAAGACAGAAATATAGATCAATGGAACAGAATAGAAAGCCCAGAGATAAATCCACGAACCTATGGTCACCTTATCTTTGACAAAGGAGGCAAGGATATACAATGGAAAAAAGACAACCTCTTTAACAAGTGGTGCTGGGAAAACTGGTCAACCACTTGTAAAAGAATGAAACTAGAACACTTTCTAACACCATACACAAAAATAAACTCAAAATGGATTAAAGATCTAAATGTAAGACCAGAAACTATAAAACTCCTAGAGGAGAACATAGGCAAAACACTCTCCGACATAAATCACAGCAGGATCCTCTATGACCCACCTCCCAGAATTTTAGAAATAAAAGCAAAAATAAACAAATGGGACCTAATGAAACTTAAAAGCTTTTGCACAAAAAAGGAAACTATAAGCAAGGTGAAAAGACAGCCCTCAGATTGGGAGAAAATAATAGCAAACGAAGCAACAGACAAAGGATTAATCTCAAAAATATACAAGCAACTCCTCCAGCTCAACTCCAGAAAAATAAATGACCCAATCAAAAAATGGGCCAAAGAACTGAACAGACATTTCTCCAAGGAAGACATACGGATGGCTAACAAACACATGAAAAGATGCTCAACATCACTCATTATCAGAGAAATGCAAATCAAAACCACAATGAGGTACCATTACACACCAGTCAGGATGGCTGCTATCCAAAAGTCTACAAGCAATAAATGCTGGAGAGGGTGTGGAGAAAAGGGAACCCTCTTACACTGTTGGTGGGAATGCAAATTAGTACAGCCACTATGGAAAACAGTGTGGAGATTTCTTAAAAAGCTGGAAATAGAACTGCCATATGACCCAGCAATCCCACTTCTGGGCATACACACCGAGGAAACCAGATCTGAAAGAGACACGTGTACCCCAATGTTCATCGCAGCACTGTTTATAATAGCCAGGACATGGAAGCAACCTAGATGCCCATCAGCAGACGAATGGATGAGGAAGCTGTGGTACATATACACCATGGAATATTACTCAGCCATTAAAAAGAATTCATTTGAATCAGTTCTAATGAGATGGATGAAACTGGAGCCCATTATCCAGAGCGAAGTAAGCCAGAAAGATAAAGACCATTACAGTATACTAACACATATATATGGAATTTAGAAAGATGGTAACGATAACCCTATGTGCAAAACAGAAAAAGAGACTCCTATGTATAGAACAGACTTGTGGACTCTGGGAGAAGGCGAGGGTGGGATGTTTCAAGAGAACAGCATTGAAACACATATATTATCTAGGGTGAAACAGATCACGAGCCCAGGTTGGGTGCATGAGACAAGTGCTCAGGCCTGGTGCACTGGGAAGACCCAGAGGGATTGGGTGGAGAGGGAGGTGGGAGGGGGGACCGGGATGGGGAATACATGTAAAAAAAAAAAAAAAAAGATACACTATGGTTGTGATAAAAAAAATTAATTAATTAATTAAAAAAAAAACTGCTTCAAAAAACAAAAAAAAAAAAAATAAAGTGTACATCCCTTAACCCAGTGGTTTCACTTTTAGGAAGCTATCCTACAAAAATATTCATGCATGTTCACCCGGATGTATGTACAAAGATCCTCACTAAAGCATTATCATCAATAGGGTAATTATTAAATTTGTGTGGCAACTGAAAACATTGAATTAGATTATCTGTATGAAAGAAGATGTTTGGTTATGTTGTTCAGTAAAATTTGAGGCTGCTGTATTTAAAACATCAGGTTTCATAGAGGTAAATTAGAGTATGATTTAATTTTTAAAAATAAGCTCAATATCTGTATCATTTTGGTAATCAAAAATACATTAAAAAGAAAAACATTTACCAAGGGAATGCATATTTTATAAGGACAAAATTACATATAAATTTATTAAACCACATTAATTACATAGTTTAAATTTTCTATAATCTTATTTTTGGTTTTATTTTATCTGTCATTGCCTCTTAGGGTTAAGCTGTCCCCTTATAACTTTCTATTTTGCCTTGCATTTTTAATACATTTTGCTCTGTATTAATTGAAACTACATTCCAGGCCAGACTTTCTCATTCTATCTTGACCCCCTTTGTCCCCTTTGTTCCATGTAATACTTTTGGCTTTAAATTGTACTTCATTTGAATTCATAGTCACCTATACTCTTTTTTGTTTATTTTGGCCAGACTTTGTCCATCTTTCTGATTTAAATCTTTCTGTGGCAATTTGCTGTCTTAGAGCTTTTAGAAGTGGTATAGGTATAGACTGAATTTCTTTTCTTTGTTTTTTAAGTAAACCTATGTCTTTGCTTTTACGTAGGGGAAACAAATTAAGTCATGTATATTTATCATTATAATGGATATGTTTGATCTTATTCCTGCTATCCAGTTTTGTGCCTTCTTGCTGCTTTCAGAGGTAAAAGCTAAAATTAAGGCAGTAGCAGTAGGAAGGATAAGATGAAGCCAAGTGGAAAATAATAATGATGAAGATAACAGTATAGGGGATTCAGGAGAGTGAGTGGGGTGGAGAATTGAGAGATGGTTTCCTGATATCAAGCTTTGTCAACTTGGTGTGTGGAAGGGAAAATAAGCCTCCTTTTGTTCATTTTTGTTGTGGTAGAGATGATTTTAGTTTAAGACATGTTTTCTGAGATCCTTGTGGGATATGTAAATAGAGATATGCTACAAAAGCAGTTGTACATACAAATCTAGAGCTTATGAAAGAAGTATTTAACTACATGCCCATAATTATATGGGAGACTCTGGACACTGCCCATGGTTTAAAAGATCAATTAATTTGATGATGGTCCACATTCGTGTTAAGGCTTTATCGATGGCAAAATTGTATGAGACTTATCCCACATTTGGTAAAAGAAGAGTGAGGAAAATTACCTTTGCCATTCCAACTGAACTGGCATTCAATTCTGAGATTCCTTGATTGGTCTTGTCTCCACGTTCCCATATCCCGAAGTCCTGGCATAAAATAACCAACACACCATTAGCAAGTCACCACTACTAAATGCTTACTAGATATACAACCCTTGAATAAAAGGCGTAAATATTAGCTAACTTGCCATACATACGTTTGCCCACAATGCTTATTAAGGAGAGGCCAAGGAGTTGAGTTCCCCCTATAACTATTTCCCCACTAGCTTTCAATTCTCTTGGGGACTCCAAGAAGTTAGAAGATAGCTTGATGGCTAAGAACTGTAACTTAGTTCATCTAAAGAGGTCCTTATCAAAATTTTTCATCAAAGTGGATATCTAGGGGGTCTAGGAAACAGAGCCTAAACATCAACCCAAATACTTTATCTTAAATATCCAGTCTAATTTTATTCCCTGTTGGCAATGACAATGTACCAAGAACTTACTTATGCACTTTACATTATTATCATCCTTAATCCTTACATTTTATAGATGATGAAACTGAGGTGCAAAGAGAGGTTAAGCAACTCACCCAAGGTCACATAGTTAATGAATGACAGGGCTAAAATTAGAGTCCAAGTTATCCAAAGCCTACACTCTTAACCATAGTGCTATACAGCTCCTCGATAATACAAAGATAACATTTAGAATTAGTTTTTAAAACTTGTTCATTTCTAAATAACTTTAGATTAACAGAGAAGTTTTAAGAATAGCAGTGAGTTTCTATACACTTTTCACTCAGCTTCCCTTAATGTTAACACTTGACATAGCCACAGTACAATTGTCAAAGTGAAATTTATATGAATAAAATATTAGTAACTGAATTATGGACTTTCATAGGATTTCACCAGTCTTTCCACTGAGAGCCTTTCTATATTCCAGGATGCAATCCAGAATACCATGCTGCATTTGTCGTGCCTCCTTAAATCTCTTCCAGTTACAGTTTCTCAAGCCTTGTCTTTTATACCTTGACACTTTCTGAAGATTAATGGTCATATATTTAATAGATTTCCCTCAATTTGGGTTTCCTTGATATCTTCTCTTGATTAGATTGAGGTTATGCATTTTTGGCAAGAATACTAGAATTCTAGAAACATTATGCTCCTTCTTAGTGCATCATATCAGGGGTACACAATGTTGATGTCTTATTACTTGTAACAACCTTCATCGCTTGGTTAAGGTAGTGTCTACAGAGTTTCTCCATTCTACTGTTATCATTTTCCTATTATATTATTATACTATTTGCAAGCATCCTTTGGAGATACTGTGGATTCAGTTACAGACCACAGTGATAAAGCAAATATTGCATTAAAGCAAGTCATATGACTTTTTGGTTTCAGTACATATAAAAGTTATATTTATACTACACTGTAGTCTATTAAGTGTACAACAGTATTAAGTCTAAGAAAACAATGTAAATACATTAATTTTAAAATGTCTTATTGCTAGAAAATGGTAACCATTATCTGAGACTTGGGTGAATCAAAATCTTTTTGCTGGTGGAGGATTTGACATACTGCAAGAATTACCAGAATGTGACAGAGACATGAAATGAGCAAATGTTGTTCAAAAAATTGCACCAATAGGCTTGCTTGACATAGGGTTGTCACAAACCTTCAATTTGTAAAAATCACAAGTAACTGCTAAGTGTAAGAGAGTGAAACAGTGAAATGAGATATGCCTGTAATTAATATATATGTTCAGAGATAAACTTTATGACTGTGCAAATAACTTGTTTCTCCTCGAATATCCATCCACTAATTTAGCATCCATCAGTGAATTATCCCTGCAACAATCATAGTGGTGTTTCAATGGTGATTTTCTAGTTCCTTTATTACCTCTACACTTATTAATTACAGTCCTTCTCTAAGAAAGTACTATCCTTTCTCCCTCATTTTTTACTCAGCTATTTATTTATATCAGTATGAACTTAGAGATATTCAATTTATTCTCTGGGTTGTAATAAAATGTTACCATTATTTATTTGCTCAAATTGTTCCAGCTCTGGCCATTGGGAGTTCTTGTAGATTGGCTCCTGTTTTCTTTTAACATGCTCCATTTTTAAAAACACTTCCTCCCTTTCTGTCATAAGATGCTCAAATACAGTCTCATCTTGTATTTTCCCTGCCCCAGTCCTGGAATCAACCACTTTTACACGGAATTTTCATTCCTTTCATTAGAGAATGATAGTTATATTCAAGACCTGAGTACCAGTGCTCATTGCCACTGTGGTGTCAGGCATCTAGGCTCTCTCATTGAACAGAACTTGGAAATACTCAAATGCACACACATGCTTGCACATGCACACACACACCTGTATTTATTTTGGTATTTACCTTAAGTTACTTTTAATATCAAATCTCTGTGTCAAAAGATGAAGTTCCAGAAAGGTAAGCCATATTTATCCCATAGCGAGTCTCATCTGCCCCTAAACCTAGCTCTACCCTAGTTTGTGCAGCAAAGATTAGAGTATGAGAAGGCACAAATATCATTAATTCTACTGCTGCAACCTTGGCTACAATAGAGGTCAGAAAACCCTGGTTTTTACCCTGCATCACAGCAGGCTTATGGTATCAAAAAACAAAAATCTATCAACAAATAATATGTTTGCACCAAATATGTCTATATTAGACATATGTCTATATTAGACATATCTTCTTCTCTGGAGAAGGGAATGGCTACCCACTCCAGTATTCTTGCCTGGAGAATTTTATGGACAGAGGAACCTGGTGAGCTACAGTCCATGGGGTTGCAAAGAGTCAGACACGAGTGAGCGACTTTCACTTCACTTCTGGTAAATAAGGAGGGACAGGCTCCAGATTTTCCCTCACACCTGAAAAAACAACTAACCAAACCAAAACAATTAAACAAGTAAAACACTGAACTGTATATGACACAGCCATTTTCAACACAATGAGCATCATGCAATGAAGAATAGTAATTTCTGAGAGATATGTTAAATATATTATGACCTCATTAAAAAATGACTTAATTAAAAACCTACCTCATATGGTACTTGTAAAAAAGAGTAATTATTTTTGTATAGTAAGCACTGAATCAATGTCTACAGATGATATTAAACACACGACTAAACTTTATTTCTAAGTAGCTAACTGACCAATAATACTCCTTAGCTATTCTGCTCCCATTTAACCATAAATGCTAGAAGGACGACGGAGCTTAGTAATGAAAGAGGCTGAAGGCAACTTCTGCCAGAAGCCTTATAGACTGGTTCACTATGAGCGGCAGCCTTAGGAGAAGCAATAGGTTGTTCAGTATATTTAAAACATCACAGGTTTAAAATTCATTCCAAAATGAGTACTTACAGCAGTTTTATATGCAGCTTCAATGTAAAACACAAGGTTCTGTATGAAATTAACTTCATCTAGACTGTGGATAATATGAAGTCCTGAGGAAAAAGAGAATAAAGGTACAGAGCTAGTCAATTATCACTACAGGCTTTATAGGCAGCCATAGTGACTAACTGACCCCCTTACTCCCAAAGAGTCCTACTCCTGCTTAGGAATCAAGAAGCACTTTGATTTCTAAAACATAAAAATAATACCACAAATCAGTCCTAGGCTAGTTTTCAACTAAGTGAGGCACCAGAATGTTTTAAAATGGAAGAATTTTGATTGACATTTGTTTTAATGAAAATTCTCAGACTTCTAATTCTACAGTTAACTAATTGGTGCTGTGTTTAAATGTATAAACCTAGGCATCTGGAAAAAGAAAGATAAACATTTTAAAGAAGGCTTGGAGAGAGTCTAAATAATAAGTGGGTGAAGATTATGATTTTAAGAACCCAAAACCATATTTTGGAGAGTAAAAATGATAATTAATCTAAATTTGAACTATACAAAGAGAGCTTATAAATAAAATATTTTACATGAATTATACATTCAATTTTCACAACTCTAAGAGGTGGTTACCTCTATTTTCTGCCTGAGGCTTACAGAAGTTAAATATTTGCCTAAATCCATGAAACTAATACATAGTGGAAATAGGACTCAATTGACTGTAAACTTTTGTTTCATTTCAGAGACTAAGTTCCTAACCAAGATACTATACTGCTTCCAAGTGTGTACAACATGATCCATTTTTGTTTAAAAACTAACTCCTCTCCTCTCCCTGCCATCAAGGGAAATACCAACAATTACACAGTGAATGAAAGTTTTTCTCCCCATCAGGATCACATCACTCCCACCCTGCCAAGTTTCCTCTCTAGAAGAAACCAATCTTAACCAGTTTCCTCTGTATCCTTTCAGAGATACATTATGCATATATAAAAATTATGCAAAAATATGCTGTACCTTGCTTTTTTAATATACAACTTGGAGACAAATATATCTGCCTCATTAAAAAAAAAATGACTACATAGCATTCCACTGAAAAGCTATTCGTATAACCAGTTCCCTAATGAAAGACATTTGGGTTGCATCTAATCTTTCATCACTACTATCAGTGCTGCAGTGAATATCTGTGTGTTTATATCTTTGTGCACATGCACCAGTATATCAAGGTAAATTCTTAACTACTGAGTCACAGATTCATGCATATTACTTTTTCCAATATTTTATTTTGAATATTTTCAAACAAAAAAGGAAAGAATTTTATAGTGGCACCTGTAGATTTTACACACCATCTGGACTCAACCATTAACATTTTACTATACTTTTAAATCATGTATATATCCATCCAACATTCCTTCCAATTTTTGATAAATTTCTAAGTAAGCTACAAACATTGGTACTCCTCTCTCTAAATAATTCACCACATGTACATTAAATGTTGATAATCATCAGCATGTTATTCTGCAAAGAAATTCCATGGTTTACATACCAACCAGCACTGCCTGCCTATTTCCAACATGTTTGTAAACACAGGCTTTAATAAAAGTTTTTGATCTTTACTACTCTAGTGGATCAGAGATAGAATATCCTTGCACTTTAATTTGTAGCTCTTTTATTTTGAGTAAGGTTGTGAGTCTTATGTTTATAAGCCAGCTGTATTTCTTTTCCTATGAACTTTTTGCATTTTCATATCCTTCAACTTATATTGAATTGCCCATCTTTCTGTTATTAATATATTAATAAATATTAAAGAAATTGGACTTTTGCCCATCATATGTGTTGCAAGTATTTTTCCTAGTTTGTTTGACCTTCCATTTTGCTTACAGTATATTTTTCTTCTCAGAAGTTTTTATTAAAGAGTTTTATCTCATGAATGTTTCTAGTGCTTTCAGTTTCTTTTTTTTTGCATTTAAATCTCTGATTTATTGACAAATATTTTAAATCACAGAACTCTAAGTTTAAAATAAAAAATGACTATATGATTCAGATCATCAGATTGCAAACTCCTCCTGATCCATGGCTCTGTCAAAACAGAAACCACAGCACAGGGCAGTGTGGGGAGCAAAGGGTCTTTTGTGTAGTGGTATTGACCCACCTTAACCTCTTGGATAGAGAGGAAAAAAAGAGAGGCAGTAATATTGGACATCAGCTTCATAGCTTTATTTTGTCAGCTTTGTGTGCCAAGGTACTTGAACATAGACTGAGATGAGGCAGTAAGTGTGAAACTGGTTTTGACAATCTCTTAGACTCAATTAGTCACTTAGACTCAACTTAGACTCACTTAGACTCAACTTAGACTAACTAGTCACTATACCATATAAATGACACACATCTACCATTTGTCCTTTTGCTCATGATATTCTGTTTACACAGCTTTCTCCATATCTTGAAATCCGAACTGTTCTTTCAAGGTCCAGTTCAAATGCTGTCTCCCCTGTGATGTTCTCATTGATTCCCCTCTTCTGTGCTTCACAGAATTTTATTTTTCTTGCTCTTATGAACTTAGTTTTTACTTTGTACCACAGATAAATCTTTACCTGAATTTGAAGAAATCTTATTCATATTTGTAGCCCCCCCAAACATCTCATATAGCCCCTAAAAGTAACTCACAGTCTAATTTGAATGATATTAAACAATATTTTGAATAGTAGATGTTCAATAATTATTTATTGAATGATCTTAAACAACCCTGTTAACCACAGGAGAGGACCTGTCTCTTGAAGCAAGACCATACATAACATCTGGTTCCTGTCCCTTCTATGGAGCCAAGGCACTGCCTGTAGAAAAGAGGGTGCATTGACATGAATCAGCCATGGATTTACATGTCAGCGTATGGCAAAAACCACTACAATATTGTAAAGTAATTAGCCTCCAACTAATAAAAATAAATGGAAAAAAAAGAAAAGAGGGTGCAGAGGTGAGATACACAGGTGAAATGAAGTAGGGCTTGGGTAAGGCCAAAGATGGCAGTGCTGCATAAAGCACACTAAAATATCCAGAAATGAGGCTGACCCAGTGGTCTACTCCACAGACTGATTTGCACTTGCCTAAAATTAAGCCTCTCTCTCCCTTATTTTTAAAAACAGTAATATTGAGATCTTCTTCACATACCATATAATTCACCCATTTCAAGTAAATAATTTAGTGGTTTTTAGTGTTTACAGTTCTGCAACGATTACCATAATCAATTTTAGAACATTTTCACCATCCCTCCAAAGAAATCTTGTATCCATAGCAGTCACTCCCCATTTCCCTTCAACACTTGTCCCATCATTCTGTACCCAGTCCCGGCCAAGCAATCACTCATGTACTTTATATCTCTATAGATTTGCCATACTATTCTTACAAATGCAATCATACAATATGTGACTTGTTGTGTCTGGGTTCTTTCACTTAGCATAATGTTTTCAAGGTTCATCCATGTTGAAGCATGTATCAGTACTTCATTTCTTTTTATTGCTAAAAACATTCAATTGTGCAGGTATATCACATTTTATTTATCCAATGAGTAGTTGATAAACATTTATGTTGTTTCTATTTTTTGAATACTATGAGCAATGCTGCTATGAAAATTCATGCATGAGCACAAGCTTTTTAGTAAAAATATTTTCATTTTTCCTGAATATATACCTAAGAATGAAACTGCTAGATCATATGGTAACTCTGTTTAACCTTATGAGAGTTGCCAGACTCTTTTACAAAGTGGCTGTACTATTTTACATTTCCATCAGCAACATATGAAGGTTCCAATTTCTCCATATCTTCAGAAACATTTATTTTCTGTCTTTTTGATTATAGCCATCCCAGAGGGTGTGATATGGTATCTCATTATGGCCTGTATCTTCATTTCCCTAGTGACTAATGATGTTCAGCAATTTTTCATGTATTTATTAGTCATGTGAATATCTTTGGAGAAATGTCAATTCAGGATCTTGACCCATCTCAAATTAGGTTATCTTTTCGCTGTCGAGTTGTGAGAGTTCTTTACATACTCTAGATACAAGTTTCTTACTAGATATATGATTTGCAAATATTTTCTATAATATTGTGGGTATTTTTTCACTTTCTTGAAAGGGTTCTTTAAAGCCCAAGAATTGTTAAACACAAGTTTATCTTAAGTTGACAAATTCCAATTTATTTTTCCTTTATTTGCTTATACTTTTGGTGTCATATCTAACAGGGCCTTGTCTAAGCCAAGGTGAGGAAGGTTTAATCCTATATTTTTTCCCTAAATGTTTGTTATAAACTCAAAATTTCCCCCATAAAATTCATATGTTGAAGCCCTAACCCCCAATGTGACTGTACTTAGAAGTGAGGCTTTAAAAAAAAAAATAAAAAAAAAAATAAAAAAGAAGTGAGGCTTTTAAGGAGGTGAAGTGAAGTGAAGTTACTGTCATGTCCAACTCTTTGCGACCCCATGGACTATAGCCTACCAGGTTCCTCCGTCCATGGGATTTTCTGGGCAAGAATACTGGAGTGGGTTGCCATTTCCTTCTCCAGGAGATCTTCCCAACCCAGGGATTGAACCTGGGTCTCCGACATTGTAGGCAGACATTTTACTGTCTGAGCCACCAGGGAAGTCTAAGGTTTAAGGAGGTAATTCACGTTAAATGAGGTCATAAGGGTGGGGCCCTTATACTATAGGGATTGGTATACTTATGAAATGAGACATCAGGAGTGCATACACAGAGAGAAAAGGCCATATGAAGACACGGCAGGGAAGGTGGTTGTCTGCAAGCCAAGGTGAGATGATTCATCAGAAACCAGCACTTCTGACACCTTGATCTTGGACTTCTAGCCTCCAGAATTCTGAGAAAATAAATTCCTGTTCTTTATGCCACCCATTCTGCAGTATTCTGTTATAGAAGCCCTACTGGATTAAAACCTTTTACAGTTTTTCTTCCTACATTTAAGTCTATGATTTATTTTGTGTTAGTTTTTGTCTATGGTAGAGAAGAAGTCCAATTTCATTCTTTTGCATGTGGATATTTGGTTTTCCCAGCATCATTCTTTCCCCACTGAACTATCTTGGCATCCTTGTCAAAAATCAACTGAC